AGAGAGAGAGAGAGAGACAGAGAGGGAAAATCTTCAGCAGGCTGCAGGCTCAGTGCAGAGCCCGACACGAGGCTCGATCCCATAGTCCTGGGATCATGACCCGAGCCGAAATCAAGAGTTGGACGCTGAACCGACTGAACCCCCCAGGAGCCCCTAACAGGTCTATGGTTTAAATAATTGCTTTGTACCAATGTGAATTTCCTGGTTTTAATAATGAACCAAAGTATGTGAGAGGTTATCCCGCTGGGTACGTTACAGTGTACTTGCAACTTCTTTTAAGTCATTTAAGTTTATTTCAAATTAAAAACCAAAATAAAATACCAGTAACATCCCTATTTAAAAGGCGGCAAACTACTGGATTCCTCTGCAGCTGCTTTTGTGTTTACTTGAAAAGACATCAGGGAAGAAAAGGACCAGGGTTCACTCATGCTCAGTGCAATTTGGTTTTCTGGCTGCTGTAACTAGAGACCTCGTGTGTATCACCCACCCTGTGCCTTTTAGGGCGTATGTTCCTAAGGCTGGTGCTTTCTCCTGGTTCTTTTTTGAGTTCTCCAGTAACTGCAGGGAAAGGGAGGCCCAGAAAAATAAAGAACTTTGCCCCACGGCGACACGGTTTGCCAGACCCCGGTAGTTTCCAGAGCACCCCCACGTGATGCTATTGAATTTTCTCCAACAGACATACTTGCTGAACTCAAATCCTCCCCTTCTTTCTCAGGGAAAGGCACTCGTAACGATCAAGTATGAACAATGTAGAAGAGCCAGTTAATGACCACCACATCCTGAGAGGACAGAAGCAACAGCACACCTTGGCCACACCATCTCCTTTCTCCACCACACGCCTGGGGGGCCTGGATAACATCATTTAAAAAGCCCAAAAGGACTAGGACTTCTACCTCTACGGCAATTTGGGATAACTGAAGGTTTTTTTTCCTTCCCAGGACTCACTATTAAAACCGCAAAGGGATCCTAGACTCTCCAGGGCCGTGAGCTGGGAAACGGGGAAGAACAGAAACGGGGAACAGGAACGAGTCCTTAAGGCTCTTTTCTGGACATCAAGAGAAAAGGAAATGTGAACTCTTTGTCTAAGTTGTTCCATTTCAGTTTTCTCTCATGAAAGGAGGCAGGGATTTGGGACAGAATTGTCTAGAAATAAATAGTATGCATGTGCCTGAATTCCTCAGGAAATCTCCATGGGGGTAAAGCCAAGGGGGAGAAAAAATCCCCTATTATAGGATATGGCGATTATGATTGACAAGATGACATTTCTGGTGTGGGCTGATCTTAATTTTCAGAAGCTGACCTTTTCACATCCACGTACATTCAAGGTAGAATTGGGACAGAACAAGGTAATCGGTGCCTGCTTGGAAAAATGTTGGTTAATACTGAGTTAGAATAATTAGATATAATTAGAATAATTTTTTTAAATGTCATGGTCCTATAAGCTTTTTATCAAAACTGAATGATCATACAATTTAATCCATTAATTTATAGCTTTCAAATATTGATACCATCTTCGGAATAATTCTAAAGAAAGAATAAATTCGTAACGAAAGTACCCAGGAAATCTCTGTAGATTCTAACAATCTTTTCATTTAGCTTATAGAATAAAGAACCGTTATTTGAGCCAGTGACTTAAAGTCCCACTGCAAATTTGTCTCGTTGAATATGGCTTTTGAAATGGATTTTAATTTCTCACTGAAAATGGTGGTTTCAACTGGTTTTCCAGTGCAATTTTATTCGACTCTAACGTTTTTCCGTGTGTTCGGAACACCATCACCACCTCAAGCCGTCCCTATAAAAGAGACACCTTTTGCCTTTCAGATAGAAAGGAAGCTACAATTAAAGTAAACTATAAATATATACACATCGGAAAAGAACACCATCGGACAGGTAGAAACACTGACAAATGCTGGCTTCCCTGCCAATGAATAGGAGTCACCTGGAAAAACCAAAGGAGCAGTAAGTGACAATAGTTTGAGATAGCAAGAGCCAGGGATGGAAAGATCCAGATCCTTTTCATCACCCTCATCATCTTCATCTTCTTCTAGCTCATCAGGAATAGGGATTTCCGGTCTTATCTGAAACGACAGAGAAGGCAATAGTAGAACGTCACATAAAATCTTTTCTTTTTCCCTTTTATGCGAAGACTTAAAGACTGAGTTAGACTCGTCGCTCTGTAATGTCAAAAGACCATTAAAAATTAATTTTAAAATATCTGTTCATTTTCAGATTAACTAAACGGTAAATTCTATCTTATGAGAGACAATCCCAGACCCATGTAAAGAACCAGTGGTAATATACTAAGAAAATTACCATAAGCCAGCATAAGCAATGATTATTATAGAGCACTAATAAAATTTTACACCCTCTGACAGTAAAATGCAAAGAACTGACACATTCAATATATTGAACTTCTATGGTTTGTAATTAAATATTTGCCTTGTCGGAATACTTTTTTTTTTTTTTTTTTTTT